AACTGCTCAAAGTTACAGTTGTGCTGAAAAAATAACTTTGCAACCAAGATGCGCATTTACGACCTTCACAGCATCTCTGTCACATGTTCACCATTACAGTCAATTAGTATGCACTGTCCTTTGCCTGACCCAATATTTTTCTTCCCCCCCCCCCCCCCGCTCGCAGAGCAGAGAGATTATTTAAACAAGCAATCTCTTCCTGAGCTGCTGTTCTCTGCAGTGCAACGCTTCCCCAAAAGGTGCTAACCACAAGTTAACAAGCTCAGCAAGACTTTAATCACTTTCACATCTTTGGCTGGGAGCTACAAGTGCACAAGGCAAACGGCCGGCACTAGCACATTCCTTTTGAAGTGTATACCGCACTGTGTGCCTGCTTACTCTCTTGTAATCCCTTCCTCTCCAATGAATGTAAATACAAATATCAATTCTCTTCTTACTAATTATCCCAGTGCTGGGGTGAGCATTCCAAAGGGCAGGGGAGCGGGGAAAAAGGAAAGCTGAAGTAAGATCGTAAGCACAGTTGTGGTCACTTAGCAACCGAGTTGCCAGTCCTGATTGTAGTCACTAAACAATACCTGTACAGACTAGAATGAAAAAGAGGCAAGACAATTTCATCCTTAGTGTACATGCAGTGTATTATCACTACAAAACAGAGGTGCACATCCCAAGCCCCAGGGCCACGTGCATCTCCTCAAAAAAACTTGGGCTGGGTAGTCATCAAATTGCAATCATATTAATGGTATAATTTAAATATAACTGAAATGAGATGGATGTTTTGACCTCACCCCACTTCTTTTTCATTGCAGCTCCCAAGCACCCCATTCAAAGCACAAGTGCAACCTTCACGCTGGAAAGAACATTACACACCCTAGACAAACTCAACTCCTGTCGATTCATGGACAAATCCATGCAGCTTTCTTGGCAACAACAGGGAAGTGATTTGCCATTACCTTCTTCTAGCATTATTTTTTTACTTCCCAGTTTAGGCTATGGTTTCTGGGATTTTCTGGTGATCCCTCACCCAAGGCCAAACCTGTTTAGCTTTATGAAATCGCCCAAGGTGAGCAGCTACTTAGACCTACCCTGTGATGGAATGGAATTATGAAGGCCAGGCTCACAGAGATAAGCATTTTCTTAGCTCGCCGCAAGAGCATGGGAACTAAAAGAGGATGAACCTGGCACCTCCCTGAGGAATTCACACTGTTGTGGCTGGCTGACTTAGGAACTGGAGTTTCAGTCTGGGAAGATTCTTGCTAGAGGCTATAGCTAATAAACATAGCTGAACTGATTTTGCATTGTCTCTTGGAGTTCCTTGGGCTAGACTTGACATACTCCTTGATAACGTTACAAATTAACAGGAACAACAGATGGTTAGACTCTGCTCCAGTACATAAAACCTGACTTGCTTTAGTGTTTATGAAAAATATTTTAATGCAGATACTATTTCAGAGGTGGAAATCAGGCTCGCTCATCAAGCTGGATTTCTGGAATGCACGAGCAGAGGATAGCAGTAGGATCTGTTTTTATTAACCCAGAAGGCAATTGTATTTGAGCTAAGGATGGGACTGGGCAGCAGGAAAATTGAGAACCTCCCTTCTGCCCAGTTTTCATCCTGTGAAGATGTATTGCTTTTACTTTCCCATTGTATAAGAGATCAGTTCAGCATTACACAGGACAAATACAGACACGTTTAACTTTATTGGCCAGCAATGTAAACTGCATTTAAGCATGGTTAATATATACATATATATTAAAAAAGAAAGAAAGAAAAGAGCAGGAACAGCTTACCAATCAGCATATCTGGTCTGCTTTTACCATGGCACTAGATGACTCCCAGAAGGGGGGGGGGGGGGCTAGCCAATGTGCATGTATATTTCAGTAGTCAAACATTTCAAGCAATCATAGCAGTAGTTTCTACTTCAATTAACAATCCATTTCTCAAGGAACGCACTATGTCATATTCAAGAAATAATTCACCCTTAATTATAGAAATTAATTTCT